CAAAAGCGAAACCGCGGAGGAGAAAATAAAGCACCGCGTTTGAACACTCCTGCACCTAAATTGGAACCCTGTAAAAATCATTAGTAAATGAAAATTAAGGGGAAAATAAGAGGTGCGTAGTACTGGGAAATTTCTCAGCTTTTTCAAGGTTTAGAGCAGGAGTGTCCAACCTTGGCAAGTTTAAGGCTTGTGGACTTCGACTCCCAGAATTCCCCAGCCAACCATGCTTAGATATGAAAGCTGGCTCATTGACTTTAGACCAATCACTAGGAGATGGTGAATTCTAGTCCTGCTTTAACCACAGAAGATGGCTGGATAACTCTGAGCCAATCACCAATGAGCCAATCACTCATTCCGTCCCCCACTCCTGGGGGAAGGACATTGCAAAATCCCCATTCCCTCCCCATTCCTGGGGGAAGGATATTGCAAAATCTCCATTCCCACCCCACTCTGGGGCCAGCCAGAGGTGGGTTTTTGCCTGTTCTCTGAACTGCTCAAAATTTCCGCTACCGGTTCTCCAGAACCTGTCAGAACCTGCTGGATTTCACCCCTGAGCTGAAGGCTTAGATCAGAGAAGCCCAACCTTGCAACTTTAAGATCTGTGGATTTTAACTCCCAGAATTCCCCATGCCTGCTGAGGAATTCTTGGAGTTGAAGTCCACAAGTCTTAAAAGTTGCCAAGGTTGGACACTCCTGGTTAGATGCAAACAGGAGAAGGCGAGGAACGAGTTAACGTTTCTTAAACCAGGAAGAACCTCTGCAGGGATTCCTCACATGCTAAGTGGGCAAAGGTAAGAGGTCCCAAAGATTTGTCTGACTTGGATTGGCAATATTGCAACCCGGTGATAATTGGTCACTGACACGGTCTTTTAATTAGCAAATTGATACCAGGTGTTCTAAGCATTACAGCGGGCAGCAGAGAAAGGCCGAGGGAGAAAAGCGAAGACTTGGGCAGCGCTAGGCTTAAGCAAAACAAATATAAACCTAGTTGCAAATGGCAGAACATGGTTTTGTGTCTAATTCAGTGGTTCTCAACCTGTGGGTCGCGACCCCTTTGGGGGGTCAAACGACGCTTTCACAGGGGTCGCCTAAGACCATCGGAAAACACATATTTTCAATAGTTTTAGGAATAATTTTATGGTTGGGGGTTACCATAACATGAGGAACTGTATTAAAGGGTCGTGGCATTAGGAAGGTTGAGAACCACTGGTCTAATTGATTGATATCTTGAAGGCATATAGGGCAGAGAAAAAAAAAAACATATGGGTTCTTTTTAGGAGGTCTCCATCTGAAAAGCGGACAAGCTAATTTATCCCTTTTTAATTAGTTGGCTTGCGAGTTCTCCTAGCTACCTTCTATCAAAGCTATAGGGGGGATCCTTTGAGTTCCCACATTCACCAGGCTTTTGCCATCAACAACTTTTGCATCAACAACTTTTGCCATCAACAACTTTTGCCATCAACAACTTTTGCTATCAGCAACTGAACAGTGGGACTTCGAGCCATGATTCTCACCCTTTGCGAATAGTTTTTTTTTTTTTAATCATTATTTAGGACTGAAATAAAGCCAAAGGCAATTCCTCTAACCAGGATCTAATAACTGGGATGTAATGATCTTTTGTTCCATATGATACGTTCTCCTAAAAGTGATGGCACATAGCAAACTATAACAATCACATTCTGGAGAGCACATTGGCGTTCCTTCAGGAAACTAACATAGACAGAGACTACATAAATAAAAGTGATCCAAGCTAAATAAATACAGCAAAGAGTAGAAAAAAAAAGGCTTTAGATAGAATAGACAGGAGAAGAGGTCACTTAACCAAATAAAGTGACACGGTGGCTCAGAGGCTAAGACAGGCTTCTGGCGGACCACAACACAGCCAACAGAAATTTTGGGCTCAATTGTACCCGTAAGTCGAGGACTATCTGTAAATAAATACATGTTGGGTTGACTATTTTCCACTGGGATTCTTTCAAGGCAGTTGTTTGATAGAGTTTTCATGTTTTCATGGGTTCCCGTGGCTAGGAAGGATCATTTCTGATCCGGCAATGGTTTATTGTATTTCTCTCCAGCGACACCGAAAATCTTCTATCCAAACACCAAGCCCATTAGATGGATTGAGCTAAGGAGATGGCACCATGCAAGATCAGAAAAGGGGAAAAGGGAAATTCAACCCAGGTTTCCTGCCAGTTTTAAGCCAATACTTCATCATCCCCTTCTCCCTAAACAAACATGAATTAACAGTTGCCAGCCCACAGGATCGGATCGATAAACAAGCTAGCAAGCTCAGCTACCAGCTTTGCATATGAATGAGACAGGAATGGAATACAGTAGTCGCCCAAATTGTGGAAACCTTTTGGGAAAAGTGTATTTTTGGGGGTTTGATAGCTAATAACGCCACTTTTTTTTTGGAGTTTCAAAGATAATCCTATTCCACTGCTGGAATGGCCTGGGAATAGCCCAGACCTTAACCCAATTGAAAATCTATGGACTTGACTAAAGAAACTTGTTAGTCAGAAGCGACCCAGCAATAAAACTCAGTTAATAGAAACAATCATTCAATCTTGGTTTCACATGATAACAACTGCAGAACTCAAAGACTTGGTTCACTCCATGGGAAGATATTGTAATTCATGCTAAAGGTTACCCAATTAAGTATTGACTGACATGATAATTTTTGTATATCTCATTTTTTCTACCTGTTTCACTTTTCTTCTTTATACTGTAACTGCTATTCTAAGAGCAAATCCTTCCTAAAAGTTATTGCATTACATTCTTGATTAAATTATCTTTCCATTGAGGATATATGCAAATCTTAATCCAACGTGTTGGAAATGCAAACAAGCACAGATATATAATTTAATGGTTCTACTCAAAAAAGAAAAGAAAAGAAAAGAAAAGAAAAGAAAAGAAAAGAAAAGAAAAGAAAAAAAGTAGTGTTATAAACTAGATTTAGAAAATACACTTTTCCCAAAAAGGTTTCCACAATTTTGGCACCTACTGTAAATGGTTGTAGGTACGTTCTTCAGAGCCCTATCTGCCTTTCTTTATCCAACCATCTCCAAAATAGGGGCCTGTTCTTCAGAAGCTGAAGAAGAAATGAAGATGAAATGAAGTCCCCGTTCCAAGAGGGGATGGATCAGGGGTGAAATCCAGCAGGTTCTGACAGGTTCTGGAGAACCGGTAGCAGAAATTTTGAGTAGTTCGGAGAACCGGCAAATACCACCTCTGGCTGGCCCCAGAGTGGGGGGCGGGATGGAGATTTTGCAGTATCCTTCCCCTGGAGTGGGGTGGGAATGGAGATTTTGCAGTATCCTTCCCCTGGAGTGGGGAGGGAATGTGGATTTTGCAATATCCTTCCCCAGGAGTGGGATGGGAATGGGGATTTTGCAGTATCCTTCCCCTGCCATGCCCACCAAGCCACACACACCAAGCCACACCACACCACGCCCACCAAGCCACGCCCACAGAACCGGTAGTAAAAAAAAAAATTGAATTTCACCACTGGGATGGACATATTATTTTGTCCCACCCCGTATGGTCAGGAGTAGGAAATGATTCTTCTTCGTCCAGCAGTAGCGGAACAATGGAGAAGACGGAATGTGATTGCAAGAAGTATTTCCTATCCAAAGGGGATAATCTCCTGTGATCTATGTCTCAAGTACTTTATCTACTTCCTTTTTTAGGACATGTAAACCTGGAGGATAAGTAATAACCATTTCTTTTCATATCGATCAGACTATTATGTTTCTGAAAAGGAAATTACTGGCTGAAACGCTCAGATTTTTCTAAGACAGAGCGTTTAAAGCAGATGGACTACCTCTGGGACTGTGAGTCCGTGACAAGCCTAGCTCCAAAAGATGAAAAAGGAGAACATGTTGTTGTGTTACTCCATCAGGAAGTACAAGTACTCCGCGATTTAAACAGCTCATTTAGTGACCATTTGAAGTGCCAACAGCCAGGGGTGGGCTTCAAAAATTTAGTTCCCCTCACAACTATGTGCTAGTCGTTCCCAACTCTAGAAGGCGGTGCTCATCTCCGTTTCAAAGCCGAAGAGCCAGCGCTGTCCGAAGACGTCTCCGTGGTCATGTGGCCAGCATGACTCAATGCCAATGGCGCACGGAACGCTGTTCCCTTCCCACCAAAGGGGGTCCCTATTTTTCTACTTGCATTTTTTACGTGCTTTCGAACTGCTAGTTTGGCAGAAGCTGGGACAAGTCACGGGAGCTCACCCCGTTACGTGGCACTAGGGATTCGAACCGCTGAACTGCCGACATTTCGATTGACAAGCTCAGCATCTTAGCCACTGAGCCACCGCATCCCTTATTATTATCTTATTCAACCAATAAGAAGTTTTAATTTCGCAATCGAAGTTAGTTCTGGCTTAGAACCAGATCTGTAGTATAAGAGGCCTCCATTTTTTTTCTAGACTTGGATCCTGTTAAACCAAAGAAAGGGGAGATTTGGGAGGTTTGCTTAAAGAAATTCACTTTTTGACACCATCTGCATCAAGCAGGCAGTTGATTTCAAAAGTTGTGCTTTCATAATGCAACTTTTAACACAGCAGCTACCGGGCTGTTGCCGCCATCCAATCTTCAGTGTAAGCACCAATACCGTTTATCACATCTTTGTGTATGTGTGTGAGCCTCTCTCTCTCTCTCTCCCTCTCTCTTTTATGTACATTGCCTTGAAAATATTATCAATAATCTTTTCAATTCCAGGAATGAAACCGCTTCCCCAGTCATCTTTTCATCTGTTGCAGCAAAGATTAAATTGCAATTTTCAGGTGATGCAGTCACAAATCCACCCGCCCCTCCTTTTTTCCCCCCTTCCCCTCCATTTGTGGGTGCAAAGTTGTGCTTCATCATTCCTACCGATGGGCTTTCTAGCAAGTTTATCTTTTGTGTCATCAAAGCTGTGCCATCCTGGCCCGCTATCTCGCCTCCGAATGAACGGCATACAAATTGAAACCCAGAGGTTGCCCAGAAGTTACTCACGCTTTGACCACCGACAAATAAACATGCGAACGAATAAATGTTGGCCGAAGGATCAACGGGCGAGAAAAAAAAGAAATGTGCCCGATTCCATAGGAAGGATTTCTTTAACATCTGGGCGTTTGCCAAAGGTATCATTCATTCTGCCAAAAAAAAAAAAAGAAAGAAGGAAAGAAAGAAAGGCTGAGACAAAATTAGCCTCGGTGTGCTTTGAAGGAGGCAGCTGCACAACTTGACAATGTAAAAGCTCTCCCTGGCATATTTTTGGTGACTCCGAGAAACTCCTTCCCTTTCCTTTGCAAGCTTTCCATATGCTTTTCCTTAGCGGCGCCCTGCAAATCGGCCTTCGCATTTTCATTTCTGCTGACAAATGAGGAATTTCAGAGATGGTGCAGAGAGGGTCGGCTAATCACATACACAGACACACAGACACACAGACACACAGACACACAGACACACAAACACACACAGAGTAAATAAAAGGGGACAACTGTGCTTCAAGATCTCCTACATGAATGTCTTCCTCTAAAAAAATAATACATAAAGTAAAAGTGAGCGTTGTCGTGTACTAAACCAGGGGTGGGCAATTGTGGCTCTTTGACAACTTGTGGACTTCAACTCCCAGAATTCCTGAGACAGCCAAGCTTGGCTGTCTTAGGAATTCTGGGAGTTGGAGTCCACAGGTTGTCAAAGAGCCACAATTGCCCACCTCTGTGCTAGACCAGGCGTCGGCAACCTTAAACACTCAAAGAGCCATTTGGACCCGTTTCCCACAGAAAAGAAAACACCGGGAGCCACAAAACCCTTTTGACATCTGAAATGAAGACAGCACTGCATATATTATTATTTTTTTATGCTGTGTATAAAAAAAAACAATAGTGTGTTGCATTTATGAAATCAATGACCTGCTACAGAGAAAATGAATTTTTATTTCTGCAGGCAACAAAAACATTTTGAACTCCAGGGGGAAAAAAAAAGATGGGTTGAAAAGCTCAATAAATCACGCGCTGGCGGGTGTCGCACATTGGCGGCTGTGATGCATATTTTGAGTGACAGGGAACCGAGCAGAGGGATGAAAGAGCCACATGCGGCTCCAGAGCCGAGGGTTGCAGACCCCTGCGCTAGACCCTTCGAACCAGGTCAGGAAAGTTCAAGACTTTTCAAGAAATTCTGGAATGCTATTGATAGAAGCAGTGTTTCCCAACCTGTGGCAACTTTTTGGTGTATGGACTTTCTGAATTATTAGTCAAGTGGAATCCTTGGGGCTCTCTGAGCTGGGTTGTTTTCTTGTAGACGTTTATTACCAGACTAGGTAACGTTATCAGAACTAGAAGGGAGTGGGGTTTGTGAAGAGGAGGAGGAGGATGGGGGGAGGGGGAGAGAAGAAGGAAGACTGTGGTTCTTCATGCTCTCTGAGCTTGGTTGTTTTCTTGTGGGCATTTCATTACCCAACTAAGTAATCATCATCAGTGCTGAAAGGAGGTGAGGTTTGCAGAGAGGAGGAGGAGGAGGAGGAGGAGGAGGAGGAGGAGGAGGAGGAGGAGGAGGAGGAGGAAGAGGAGGAGGAGGAAGAAGGAGAAGAAGGAGGAGAAGGAGAAGGAGAAGGAGATGGTGATGGTGATGGAGAGGAGGAGGACGGGAGATGGTGTTTGAGAGGAGGAGGAGGAAGAGGAGGAGGAGGAAGAGGAGAAGGAGAAGGAGATGGTGATGGTGATGGGATGGAGAGGAGGAGGACGGGAGATGGTGCTTGAGAGGAGGAGGAGGAAGAGGAGGAGGAGGAAGAGGAGAAGGAGAAGGAGATGGTGATGGTGATGGTGATGGTGATGGAGAGAAGGAGGACGGGAGATGGTGTTTGAGAGGAGGAGGAGGAGGAAGAGGAGAAGGAGAAGGAGAAGGAGAAGGAGAAGGAGAAGGAGAGGAGATTGTGATGGAGAGGAGGAGGACGGGAGATGGTGTTTGAGAGGAGGAGGAGGAAAAGGAGAAGGAGGAGGAGGAGGAGGAGAAGGAGAAGAGGAGAAGGAGGCGGCTGTGGTCCTTGGTGCTCTCTGAGCTTGGTGGTTTTCTCACAGATATTTCATCACCCAACAATGTAACATCATCAATGCTAAAAGGGAGTGGAGTTTGTGGAGAGGAGGAAGACGGGAAGAGGAAGAGGAGGAGGAGGAGAAGGAGGACGACGATTGCAGGGTCCTTGATGCTCTCTGAGCTTGTTTTCTTGCAGACGTTTCATGGCCCAACTAGGTAACATTATCAGTGCCAGAAAGAAATAGGGTTTGCACTCTTCAGTACCGATAGCGTTACCTAATTGGGTCATGAAACACTTGCAAGAAATCCACCAAGCTCAGAAAGTACCATGGAACCCATGGTTCAACTTTGGCTACAAATGTTCTCTTCTAATCGATTCTCACCCGCAGCCATGCTGCCTGCAGAATTCTGGGATCTGAAACTCAACCCATCAAATTACCCACCCTGGAAACCAGTGGTTTACAAATAGTCTGGTTGCAATTTCCTTTCTTTCTCTGTTATATAAAAAAAGAGAATTAAGAGGGTTTTTTCCCCCCATGATGGCTTCTTCCTTTTCTTAACTCACGTTCTCTTTTTTCAAGGTGGTATAAACTGCTAGGACAGGCAGTTTATTCTCCATGATCAGTGGAACTTTCTATGATTCATTACTTCCAGAGAGAAAACTTAATTTCTTCTAAGGGAAGTGAGAGTATTTTATCTACATCGGGATTTTCTTGGCATCTGAGAGGAGTCAGAAAATGAACCAATAATCTGACAGCAATTGCAAGAGAGAAAAGAGGAGAAAATCACCTTCTGTCTACTTTTTTTTCCCCCTGTCTGCAAAGTTCTTGCCTGCTGGGTAGTGGGTGGGAGACAAAATTATTAATATGGTGGAGAGCTAGTGAAGCTGCCACCGATTGTCGTGGTGCCGGAAAACTCCCAGGCAAAATCTGGAGGGCAGAGATGATGGGGGAATCCAGAGAGAAGCAAAAACTAAAATGAAGAGGATAGGACATATTCTTCTCCAAATCCTTTAGGTGAGGACCATTTAAAGTCCTAAAACCCTCCAGTGATGGAGAAGGAAGGAAGGAAGGAAGGAAGGAAGGAGAGAGAAAAAGAAAGGAAGGAAGAAAGGAAGGAAGGGAAAGAGAAAGAGAAAGAGAAGGAAGGAAAAGAAAGAAAGAAAGAAAGAAGGAAAGAGAGAAAGAAAGAAAGAAAGAAGGAAGGAAGGAAGGAAGGAAGGAAGGAAGGAAGGAAGGAAGGAAGGAAGGAAGTCTATGGAGGCAACTGGACTTTCTGGTTTTTCTTTGAAGATAGTTCATTTCTCATCCAAGAAGATACTTCAGTTCTGATTGGATGGTGGGAAGAAGAAGGAAGATGGTGGGAAGAAGGAAGTAGGAAGTAGGAAGAAGGAAGGAAGGAAGGAAGGAAGGAAGGAAGGAAGGAAGGAAGGGAGATTTCATGCCTTGCTCCAGGTCATCACAGAAGGAAGGAAGGAAGGAAGGAAGGAAGGAGAAAAAGAAAGAGAAAGAGAAGGAAGGAAAAGAAAGAAAGAAAGAAAGAAAGAAAGAAAGAAAGAAAGAAAGAAAGACAACAGACAGACAACATTCTACATCCTACCCAATTCAAGTTGGGGCAGGCAGGGAATTCCCCAAACCTCAATCAAGAAGCCGAGATGGGTGGCTCTCGAATCAGAGCCAACCCGTGACGAGATGGGATATGGAATCCGCAGGGTGGGCTTGGATTCCAGAACGCCGGGGCGTTCCATTTTGTCCTGCGCACTCCCTGCGAAGCCTCTCGAGCGATCTGCATATAAAGCTTCCCTGGAAATTGGCTTCTGACTTATTTAATCTCTACCCAGAGGAAATGGTTGCAGTTAAATGGGCTTATGAGGAAGGCGCTGCAGATGGGCCTTTCAGAGAGTCTGAATGAAGATTTATGCCCCAAATTACCATGTAAATATCTCAACCATTTGCAGCTCTCCATCACTCTCTGGCTCAGATTGTCTTTTAAAATGGATTTACTGATGGAGAGGCTTCAAATCCCGAAATTGGCTCTCCAGAAAGACACACGCCCACGCACACACACACACACACACACCAGGGGAAAAAAATGTGTGTCTCTGTGTGTTTGTGTACAAATGTGTGTGAAAGCTTCATGTGTAAACAGGATATTGAAAACAGGAGCATAGCAATATTTATTGCGCCGCTACGAATGATGTGCTAACAGATCAGCCGCCGTGAATTCTGCACAGCCTTTCTAAGTTATTTATCCCGAGGTTGAGAAATGCCTCGTCTTTCCTCATTCCTACTCCTTTCTTTTTTTTCCCTTTCCTTTTTTTTATGGTTAATAATCTGTATTGATTTTATTTGGTTGCTATCTTTCTTTCCTGCTGTATAATTTCTTAAAATAAGGTGCGCCGTACTTACTCGTAATAGCTTTTGTGATTTTCCTGTCTCGGTGCTCTATGAATACATCCATTTAGATTCTATTAAACCAAGCCTGGTGAATGAATTTGGGTGGGTGTAGGTGGGGGGTGGGAGAGAAAAATGCAGAAGAGATGGGAGGAAGGAAAGGAAGGAAGGTCGGTTTTGGAAAGGAGAAGAGAAGAAGGAGGGAATGGAAAGGGAGGCAGGGGAGGCTGTGTCTCCTTCCCACGACTGAGAACTGGCTTTGACTGCGTAGGAAATTCGGTTGACTTGGTTGCATTTGTAGGGAGTTAGCACTCACCCCTCTCCTAGAAGAATGAAATATTTTAGGAAATATTAAAAAGGCAGAATATTATATTTCCCTGGTTGAGAAATGGAGAAACATGTTTTAAAGACAAAGCAGCTCCCACATTCTTCCCCCCACCCCCACCTTTTGTCAATGGGCCAGAGGCAGAAACCCAATCCTTTGCCAAAGAATCATCATCTGCAACACAATAGGACCCATCTAGGAACAGAAACTCACCACATGGCACCTGGGAAGATTACATCAGCCAGCAAGGCTAGCTAAGACCCCACACCCCCTGGGAGTCTGACAACCAATCAGGATACTCTTTTGGGGTCCCAGGAAGTTCAAAGCCAGAGAGGCATAAAACCCGGGGACTCAGTGCGTCTCGCCCCTTTTTTCTGTTCAGGAACTCAAACCATGTGAT